CTCTCTTGAGAGTGGCAGCCGAGCTGTAGGGCAGCATGAGCAACCGGTGAGGGAGGAGGAGGCGGCCCCGTTCTGCTTTCTCATGAGGCGCTGTTGGCCGCGCGAGTTGCCACGGGATGCCTCCCGGGGTTGACCGAAGGGTGGGGCAAGCCCCAGGCCTGCCCTCACAAGGGGGGGGTAGGGGGTTGTTGTGGGTGGTGGTGGTGGTGGTGATGGTGGGTTTGGGGGTGGGAGTGGGAGTGGAAGTGGGAGTGGAGGTGGGGTAGGGGACGGAGCTGGGAATGGGTATTCGACCCAGGTTGTGGCCCTGCCATCATACCTGGCCATCATAGAGGGAGTGCTGGCCCAGGTGTGCAAAGCCAGGACCTTGGCTGGGTGTCCGCCGCCCGCGGCCGAGCAGCAGTTGGAAGCGTTGGAGGCGGAGCTGGCCAGGCTGCTGAACGAGGGTAGAGCGGTCATGGCGGGCACGATGACAGCTCCTAACCCCGCTGCCCCTGGGCCGGTACAGCACGCGCACGTTCTGGATTGCAGTGATGGGAGGCAGAACTGGACGGGGGGCGAGGGATCACATAGGCGCCCCAAGGTGGATACGGGGAAAGAACGGATGGTGTTGCCGAGTGGAAACGAGGGAGTTGACATGCATGAGGGCGCTGCACTTCTGATGGCCCTCAAGAAAAAAGCCACCATGCTGGGGTTGTCGGGGCCAGCGGGAGGGAATCGGCTTGGAGAAGGTGGCAGAACGGCATCTGCGGCCATGGATGAGGGGGGAGGCCGGGAGTGAGGCGGGCAGGTTGGGTGGATGCGCAGTGAGTGGAGGAAGATGATGGCGTTTGAGAGCGAGTTTGATCTGAGGTCATGGGAAAAGCGAACCGGGAAGAGGTTCGTCTTCTTGGACGTCTTGGGTTTCGGCGAGCGTTTGGTTAATGCAAAGCAGCATTATGGTATCATGGTTATTCAGGCACTTGTTTATGTCAAGTACATGTCTTCATTGACCCATGAATCCATGTACCCAGTAAGTTCTCGAATATGTCTGTCCTTGTCACAATGTGAATCCTCTCGCTCTCGTCTAGGTACCTACCTACCTACGTACCCAACCAAACATGACACTACTCCCCGCCTTAACTCAACTCACTCAATGACGACTGCCGCTGCGCGAAGGCTACTGTAGTACATGTTGTAAGCGTCCTCTAAATCCTCCCATACCGTCTTGAGCACTCCGTGTTCGTATCCTCTCTCTCCCAATAGGCTGATCTGGATGCCCATTCTGTCACAAATGTTTTTCTGATCCTCGTGCCCAAGATACTGAAACTGTTCCCTAGCAAGGATGAGGACAAGAGTGCGCAGCACCTCGTTCTTCTGATTCTGGTATCTCACTTTGGCACAGCGAACTGAGCACCTCGAAATACACGCGAGCGCGGTCAGCCCAGTCCACGATGATCATGTTGCCGCCCGGCTGCCTGCGAGGCGGGGTCTTACTCTCGGGATATTAACGCACCTTTGTCCATCAGCTTGCATTGGTCATGGCCAATCTTGCCCTTGACACCGCATACGACCGCGGTGACACCGCCAGCGCCGCACGTCACCGCCGATGCCGTGCCGTGCGCAGCAACGAACGATGCGGCAGTCCCTAAAGCGCTCGCAGTCCAACCCATAGGGTTCCACCAGAAGAAAGTCACGGCCACGGCAACGACGGTGCCAATGACGGCCATGCCAGTATTGGCTGCTTTGGGCAGGATGTATCTTTCGTCGAGTAACGGCGCGAGGACGTTCAGGGCAGCGGCTGTGTCGTCTGCGCTGCGGGAAAAGCTTCCGATGAGTTGAGCGAACTCGAGTATTTCCTCAGTGGTGAGCTCCTGTCCGGTATCCCTTCCTGAATTGCCCACAGATGAGAAAATGGACCCCTCGGTCAATGACGGCGAGTGGAATCGATAAGTAGGAACAGTCCAACTTACTCTCGCCCCTGCCAGACCAAGCCTGCACCCAGCCTTTAGCCTCATGGAAAGCGGCATCGAGTGTCGTCAGGGACTCAAGTAGATCACATCTCGTCTGGGAAATGGTTCGTAGCTGACCTCGGAGCGACGGCGGGGTCGAGGTTGCGTTTATAAAAGCTTCGGCCTGAACGGGGAAACTAAGAATCAGTCCAACTTCAGGGTTATGATTCATTACTGGGTGTACGAAGGAGTCACAGAGCGAACCAAAAGGAGCCGTCTTACGAGATTCTCCAGGTCTTTCCAAACACCCCTTGACCTGGTGGTATCCGCTGGCGCCGGCCGTGATCTCATAGCTGCATTGGTCTGGTTACTTCCACCCTGCCGAGGATGGTAGAACTCTTGCAATGTCTGGAATGTTTGGACAGCACCATTCACGGCAATGGTGATGCCGGTGACTGTGAAGGCGCTTCACCGGTTGAGTACCGAACCCATCTGTTAGCAAACCGACTTGAAAAGTGGCTTTTCCTCCTCTTTTCTTTTTCTTTTCCTGTTCTTCCCCTGACGGTCAGAGTACCGGCAGAAAACGACATAAAAAAAGGCTTTCAAGGACTGGACTAACATTTCGATAGCGATATCCACCTTGCTGCGCCTTCCCTTTGGAATGATATCCTGCTCGCGTTTTTTGTGGGCTACAAAACCATCGAGGAGCTTCGCCGCCTTGTCGTGATGCTCTCCAAGCTGGTCTATTTCAAACAACCGCAAAAAAAGGCACGTCGTCGAGTCGGTTAGAGGAAACGAATGTATTTTCGCGCCGCGAAGCATGGCCGCGAGACTCTCAACATCATCGTTCGTGCATCCGTCGCTGCCCCTGAATTCGGCTCGAGCCTGCGGCAAGTATTCTGTCAGAAGCCCATGTCCCGGTGATGTTCACCATGGGTGGTAAGTCAGGACAGCAGGGCCACGACTAGTGAAAGACGGACATGCACCAGGAAAATGCCTTGATGAGCCCTCTGAGAGGCGGGAGGCGGCTCCGCAGTCTCAATGGCCCAGCTGGGTCCGAGATGCCCAAGGCTTTCGGTGACGAAGTCGGCAAATCGGTTATGGTTTTGTGCTGTGTCAGATCGGCCCTTTGCGTACAACTGTATGTGAAAATGCCGGGCTTCCGGGCGTGCGTTGGTGGGCACAGGGAAGCTGGTGACGGCGGATGTGGCGATTTGGGCGCCGAGAAGTTCGGTCGCATCACCGCCGCCAGAAGATGAGAAGAAGCGTCCTGTCGCCATAGACTTCCAGAGGCAAATACCATCGGTGGTGAGCTTGTGACAGTTTGAGATCGAGCCTTGTCCGGTTCCAATAGCGGGGTGCGAGGTCTTATGGCTTGGGTAGACCACGCAAACACGAACGACCGAGCTCCTGGCCGGCTCCGGGACCACTAGCTGCCGGGTCCGAAGGCATCCATCCCATTGCCGAGCTTCTCGTAGGCTCACAAACGAGGCGTCGGGTACGTCCGCAAGGCAACGCATGGTTGGGCGTCTCGGGCACCGTTGGTGGTCGTTGTCGAGACGAGATGGTGGGAAGTGAAGCCAATCAGCTCGCCCATGGGTATGATGCTGAGCGCGGTGAGGCCGGCACATGCAAGGAGGTCGCAGAATGTTGAACATGATACGTCAACAGATGCTGCGAGAGCAATGAGTTGGCGTCACACAGCCTCGCTGCGGGGTCTGCGCCGCCCAAGGTGCTTTCATTTTTGTTTCTCTGCCCTGCCAGTTCACCTCCGATTGGCACCCTTGAGCCACCACTTCCAACCCCGCAACATCAGTGTTGTTAATGTTCTTATGCCCGTCAAATTCCGCTGCTAACGGGTACATCTGGACGAAACGCCATCATAAGAAAACCACCGATCTTTTACCAGAGGGGAGCCCGGACCGTGAGCGGATGGACGCTGAGCGCGAGCAACTTCTGCCGGTGGGAAACCACGCGGGGCCGCGACACGACTCTCAGAGCGGGGCGCTTATTCCAAATGAGCTTTTTGAAGGCGATGCAAACCCGGACGAGGCCGACGCCGACTCAGGAAACCGTGCGGCGCATCTGGAAGCTTGCCGTCAGTCTTTGGAGTTTCAGATGAAGCAGTATCTGAAGTATGTTGTCAGGGTCCGCAGTACTGGCATCGAGCCAAAAGACCTTCTTGCCGGGCTAGGTAAGTAGACTCGTGTCAGACCTTCCTGACGTTGCTGGCGCTGGCGCTGGAGCTCTGATTTCTCTGACATGTCGGCTCTCCACAGAACTACCCGAGAGTGGACCCAACGCGCCTACACTTGACTTTTGGTGTTTGGTCGCAGTTCGAGACCGTTTTATTGCACGGGCGAATATCTTGCTCGAGGAACTAGGGGCCAACAAGACGAGGGCAACGGTATCCCTCGCGAGATCACTGAGGTCCTCGGGCTTGATCGCCATTATATCCTTCATGTGAGCCACTTCCACCTCTTGCCATGGGATTCGAGACGATTCCGCGACAGTTGCGGGTGTGTTTACACTACCTACTGTTTACACTTTTCCACCTCCTAGAGCTACTTCGGCGGCTGCTGAGCCCGCCATACGGCCGATGCTTCACGCAGCTTGTTTCTTGCCTTTTCTTTACAACGCGCTCTTGGCTGGCAAGGTATGGGCGACTGGGAGATGCGAGCATAAACTGAAGTTTCTTGTGCAGCGCGCCACAATTTGGGACTTGGACGGAGGAGACAGGGATGAGTTGCAATCCTTTTCGCGCTTATTCCGGATGCTGCTATGAGTGTTGTAGGCTGGCTCTTGAGCGCGCCGTTGGACGCCGAGCGAGAGTACCTAGGTATTGATACCAATTATCACACGGCTCCGTGGGCCAGACCAGTAACGGGTCTTGATCGCCAAATCATCCTAGAATTAGCCACACTACAGATCTTCCTTGCTCGAGTTGCTACAACTAACATCTTCGGATGACCAGAGACTCTTTCGGTGGGGATGCGATGACGATGTGTATGTGAGTACCTCGGCATGGGTAAAGTTAGTTGTTGGAGGTAACCACAACGGAGAGCCTTGGGAGGTGGTTCCAATGGCTACAAAGACCTCACAGAGGACAGGGGATAACAGGCGGTTGGTTTCAAGAGTGCAAACAGCGGCTCCTGAGGTCTCCAATGTGTTGTTTCCCAACTGGACCGACCAAACTTGCCCAACACGGAAGCGAAACCAAAGGTCTGCACAAAGCTCACACAGATTTTGCATGGCAATTTATCCTGATTATCAAATTCTAACTGAATGCATCACCCCCGGGTATTTGAAGTCCAAAATGAGAAAGGCGGCTCTAGGCTCGCGACTTTCAACTCGCTCAATGACAATCGACTCATAAGTACTACACCATTAAACCCCCTAGTTCGTCGTCGGCATGCCCCAGCGAGGAGCGTTGATGATGATGCCCATCAAGCAGCCCGAAATGATACCGGTGACGGGGAGGGTGATGATCCAGCCGAGGTAGATCCAGGCGACCATGCGCCAGTTGACGGTGCGCCATGTGCCGGAGCAGAGACCGACGCCGACGGTGGCACCAGTGATGCACTGAGTGGTGGAGACAGGGAGCTCTGCAAGATAGTTAGCACCTGATGGTAGCACGGCCGGGGAGTCAAAAAACTTACTCAAGCGGGTGGCCAGAATGACGGTGATGGCAGAGCCAAGCTCCATAGAGAAACCACGCGAGGGCGATTGCAGAGTCAGGCGGTTACCCAAGTTGCGCATGATGTTGTAGCCGTAAGTCCAGACACCGATGACCAGCATGGCAGCGCCAAAAACGAGAATCCAGATGGGAACCTCGGACTTGCCGTCCTCGGGGAGCGGGGTCTCGTTCCCAGATCTGGAAGATACTGGCGTAGGGGCCAATGGCGTTGGCAATGTCGTTGGCTCCGTGGACGAAGGAGGCGGTGGCGGCAGTCATGATCTGGAGGAAGCTGTACATATACTCGGTCTTGTTGTCGAAGTGCTGGGCGTGGGCGTGCACCTCGTCAAGGTTGCTGGCGAGCTTGTTGTGCGTGCTCTGGGCGTTGACGACATCCTGGTCGATACCGCGCAGGAGGGCCCACTTGAAATACCAGAAGAGGACGTTGCCTTGGTACCACTTGCCCTCGGGCTTGGGGCCAACGAGAGACTTCGGGGCCTTGGTGATGTTGGCCAGGGGGCTCGGGGTGGGGCGCTCGGTCGAACCGGCATCGGAACCGTCGGCGTTCTTGGTCTTCTCTGGGTTGGAATCGCCGACAACCTCGACGTCGCCGCGCTCAGCAGCGTTGCGAGCGTCGAGCTGCTCCTTGGTAAGGCGGCCCTCGTAGTAATCCTTGACGCCAACGTCGACATCCGCAGGCGGGGGCGGGACCTCACCACGGCGGAGCAGGAGAAGGCCCATCGGGATGTGGTACCAGCGGAGCTGCCAGTCTTCCTTGATGACGACGCGGTACATCCAGGGCGTGAGGGTGACGCCGATCAGGAGCGCAAAGGCGGCACCGACACCGACAATGGTACCCGGCAACCTCGGGGTTCGGTGAGCGTGACCTTGTATCCGCCCACCCTTCCAGAGCAGCAACATGGTGAGCAGGCAAGCGGTCAGGCCGAAGTAGACGGGGACGACGCGCAGAGCCCAGATGGCGGGGTTCCTGCGCACCATGACGGTGTACTTGGTGACCAAGAAGAGGATGGCCGCGAAGCGCCCGAAAGGCCGGGGGCGATGATCCAGGCAAGGAACACCTGCACCACGCCGGAGTTGATGTTGCCCTCGGGGCTGACCCATTGGGACACCTGTGAGAAAGCCCATTAGCGCCCCATCTTCCCGGTTCCGATTTTGAGATCACTCACCGGTGGGCACCGACGGACGCAACACCCATGCCGATGACACCACCGAGAATAGAATGGGTGGTCGACACAGGCATGCCGATTCTTGTGGCGAAGGTTAGGTAGATGGACGAGGCGACGACGGCGCAGACCATTTCCGAGCATGAGAAGTTCCGGAACCTCAGCAAAAAGCGAGGTATCGACAATCTTGGTACGGATGGTGTCGGCGACACGAGCACCCACGCCGACGGCGCCGGCAAACTCCATGATGGAGGCGAGGACCATGGCCTGGAGATAGGTCACGGATTGGGAAGCGACGGACGTCGCCCACGAGTTGGCCACATCGTTGGCACCTGGGACACGGGCCTGTTAGCACCCAGGCTCTCTCGTGATGGAAGAAAAAAAACGCCCTGATGCCTTGCATTCCGGGGATCCTCACCCAATAATTCCAGCGCGTCAAGCGCGGCGAAGATGGTGCCGATGGCCAAAGATGGTAGTCGTACTGGTGCAGTAGGCATCTTGGCGGTGTGAGTTCCCGTCGTATGCAGTCGCGTGCTCAGGTGAGAACAGCAGCGCGCGGGCTGTTGTTGGGTTGATCGACCTGGGGAGCGGAAGGGATGATGAGAAACAGACACGGGCCGGTTGTTCTGTATTTAACCAGGCAGGACGCAGGGTCAAAGAGCAGCAGCAGCAGCAGCAGCTAGGCCCCCAGGGAAGAGCTCCCATACACGTGGGACGGTGGCCCCGACCGAGGACTCAAGATTTTGACCCACCCACTTCCTGCATCCACATCTTGGCGGTTCGGGAGACCTGACCCTGGAGAAATGTCTGGTTGGCTTGGTTGGGCAGGCCACCGGCAGGCGGGGTGGGACGGAGGGGCTGAAGACAGCCTTGGCGGGCCGAGTCGGTTGCCCTTGATGTCGTTACGACGGGGGTGTCCGATCTGCACGAGCCTCTCACGTCGCCCTGCGGGGGGAACGTGCCCCCCAGGGCGTTTGCCGCCAGGCGAGATGCTCGGTCAGACCAAATGGACAAGCTGCGGGATCCATGTGGCGCTCTCGACGTTGGGCGTTCGGGGGGCCGGGGCAAGGTGTCGAATCGGGGCATCACGATCCCACCTTGACGGGTGACGCTGGGCGTGGGGTGTCATTGCAGGGTTCGCCTGAACATTGTTTTCGATATTCTAAACCCCAAATGACCCGTCATCGGAGGCTCTTGTGCTGTCTGTGAGAGGGCATTTTTGACGAGATCTGCAGCCTTCAAGAGGCATGCGACCAGTTGACTAGTGTGGTGTAGTGTAGTTTACCCGGCGGCGCCTCTGTTTCTCCGCGTCTCGCACCGACTGCTACTGTAGCGTCTCATGTACCAATATCGATATGTGTGTGTTGTGTGTTGTTTTTCCCGTTTCCCCGTTTCCCAGTTTGCACATGCCGTGTCTCGTTCGGAAACGGCCCCCGGGCTCTTCAATGCGAGCTCCTTCCTGCATTGTCGGGGAAGCCACCCTCTTTCGATCACCGCCTTCGCTTGAACGTGGGCCAGATGTGCCCAGCATCGATATTGCCACCTTTTTGGTCGAGTTTTTTGAGTTTGTCGACCTTTCGAGACGACGCAGTGGATCGCCGTGGGACCGCCGTGGGATTCTGCGAGCAATTGCAGTTTTCGAGAAAGCAGCCTCTGACATCCTTGATTCGAGACATGCGGCTGGGTCTAAATAGCAGCCAAGCCCTGCCAAGATCGGGACATCTTCTTGGCGTGGGGCACAGGGACCAGTTCTTTGGGCCAATGGGCGGGTCTGGAATCGCAACGTGCACAATCTGCTCGCTGAACTTCAACGACAACCCATGGCGGGGTCTTTCAAAGTCTGCCGTTGAGTGCCATCCAACATGCACATCGAGCCAGAATTCAATGGTTCCGCAATGCCCACAACAAACTTCCCGAGGGTGAACGCCTGCCCAATTAGATTATCGTTTTGACGAACTGAGCAACAACCCCGAGAAGGCGCGTCGTCGGGTCAGCAATGCCCGGCTGATGTTGGAGTCTTGGGCTACGGGAAAGACGAAATTCGATATGCGAAAGTTGAAAACACGAGAGCGCGAGATGATGTCGCTTGTTCGCGGCCGTCTCCCGAGTTTTGCACATAGCAATAACTAATGACTTTCTCATGCCAGTCACCCCGTGTCATTTCCACTACAACTCGCAAGTCGCAGTCGTTACCAGGCCGTCAATAGTCGGTGGCCGTTTCCAGAAGAAGGGTCACGGTTGGGCACTTGTGTGCACCAACATTGCGAACACTCCGCAATGCTCCTCTCAACTCGCTCCCTCAGACTAAGTAATAGCGGGAGGGACTTTTCGTCACAGATCGAGTGCCCTCCCATCGCTCATTGGAGAGTCGAATGATATGAGCCGAGGATCAGCTTCTCCATTCATTGCCCTCAAATGATGGCCAATGACCCAACGGGGACACCGAGTGGCCTAATTTGGGCCAACCGCCACAGCTTCTGCCTTCGCTGGTGCCGGGATCCGCTCGAGTCTGCTCCCTCAGGCCCGATCGTCGTTACACTGCATTGTCTACTTGCGGCCCGGGTCTCAACCCGTGGCGCTGGGATGGCAATGCAGGGCCCGCCGGGGCACCCTCAATATGATGCCGCTCCTTTGACTCGTCTTCTCGCCTATCAGGAGCTACTGCAGACGCAAGTACTCGGCGCTAGCTTGAGCCCCCGGCGTGCCTCGCTGGCTGACGAGCGTCTGGGTCGCGTGGCAATGACGGAAATGTCTGGATTAACACTCTAGAAGGTCTGCCACTTTTTCACTCGCCACTTCTCTTGCCTTGTCCGAGTTCTCGGAAAGCGAGGACCGTGGCGCGCCTTCGTTCGCGTACAACGTTTGGGGTCTCTGCCCTCCGTGTTATGGGCTTGGAATCTAGCCTGAGCCTGCTTCCTGCCACCTCCGACTCTCGACCGCACACGCTTCAAAATCTCTTACCCCATGTCTGCTCCGATGCAAGATGCGCCAGGGGCGCGATGCGAACGTTGACTTAGTGGGGAAGAGGCGCGCGGGGGTTGAGACACATCAAGGATTCTTTTCAGCCACTCCCAACTTTGGATTCGAATTCGGCAGTCCTGTGCATGGCGCCAACCCGCATGAGACTACTAGTCCCAAGATTTTGAAACCGAAGCATCTCATTACGGCCACCGACGTCGGACGGCGTGGCGCCATTAGTGCGTTGATGGCCGTTCTGCTTTCTGCGCGGATCGTCGAGCACTGTCCTTGGCGATATCGAGAAATTGTTCGCGTGTCCAGTGATGCAAGCAAACAAGGGTGCTGCTTAGTTATTCCCTCCTTGCGAGAGGTCTCGTACTCTTGAGGGGCTTTATTACCCTAACCCTCCAAATCGAGGCCGAAGGAAGCCATCACCGGGAATGTGCCGGACGGCCCCGCATCCGGCCTGTTCGGTGAAGCAGCTGAGCCGCAAATCCGGGAGAATGTCGGTTTCCGGGGAACTGCCTCCGATGGGCCGGATACTTGTCGACTTGCCAAACGGCGTAGTGCCACACAAATCACAACATGGGCTAAATATCCTGTTGGTATCACGGTATCACCATCGCCTCGGTTCACACATGTCGTGTCGTTCTTGAAGGAGGGCGACAGAGCTAGCGCAGGGGAGTCTTTCAAGGCGGCAGTGACTGTTGGGCTGTTCAACGCCGGCTCCATGCCATTACCCTTTTGTAAAATGTCGCGCGCTTGTTACTGCCAAAACCCAGTCGTGGTAGAGTAGAAACGTTGCAGATGAAATAACTACTTTCACCGTAATTATTATTATTATTATTCATACTCCGCTATGCCCTAGGGCGTGCCGGACCCTCAGCTATTTAGTGTACAGGAAAACCGTGCCCTCCCGGGCCGGGTGAAAAACCCATACCAACAATCAAGGAACGATGCGTTCTGGTGAGTCTGCGTATACAAAGAGAGGAGGCCTCCTGGCTTCCGAACGGGGGCGCTTCAGGCCGCCGCTTCCAGCTCGAGCCTCCTGGCTAAGTTGTACATCGGCAGCTTCCCCGAGTCCATCAGCCAGTCGAGAACTCTCCTCGCGAGCCGTGCAGTCGTGGGATTGATGCCGTGTAGAACAGAGTAAAAGTCCCGTCGTGTCCGAATTCCAGTTCTCTCCCATCTTCGAGTCAACGGTGGGGCCAAGCACCACAATACCAGGTGTTCGGCAGTCTCTCGTCCCTCCCCACACTCGCAGGCAGGAGTCAGAACCTCCGGGACTCCCCATGTAAACAAGAAGTCCCGTAAGCCTATTGCTCCCGTCCGGATTTGAATCAGCAGTGAGCTCTTCGCCTTGCTGAGACCGTCGTGCCTCCTTAGGGTTTCGTTCCGGAATAGCGTCTCCTGCTGATGGTCAAAGTCGTCCGCCAGCCTGGTGACCGCCCTGCCGTCCCGTTCCTTTAACCACCTCGCTTTCCAAGCCTCTTCTACTACCCTGTTCGTATCAACGATTCCCCCGTCCAGCGTCACCGTAATTACCGGCTCCCGTTCGGATACTTTAAGTTGATTAAGCCGTTCAAACAGGCGACAATCGGGAGAGTTGGTTGCATGGGAGACCGCAGGAATCAAAAAATATTCTGCGAGAATTGTGGTGTTGATGACTTCTTTGACTTTGGTGAGAATTGTAATAATGCATTCACAGCTTCGGGGGATGAATGGAGCTGATTTGACGCGTGGCGTTGGCAAACTAAAATCGGGTTGAACTCTTACATGCTTCATTCCGCTCGTGCTACCACACATCAACACCCATCGCACATCAACACTGATCAACGGCCAACCACCCCAACTTCAGATGGCATGGACTCCGACGCAAGCAGCAAGTATTACTGGGAACCACCTGGGGCAACGGAGCCTGTTCCAGACCTAGACGATGATCTCGCGCAATTGTCGCAGGAGATTGAAGCGTGGGTTGGCACAAGACCTGACCCATCATCTCTCGATATTATAGCGGCCTATGACGAATTACGCCATCTCGATATCAAGGAGAGCTTGTTACTCGCGGAAAAGAAGAAGCGGTACGAAAACTGCCCGTCCCCGAAGCCTGCGACGATGGTTATACGAGACACACAATGGGACGTCATCTCCCACGTACTCGAGCCCCGACGACAACTATTTCGTCTCAACGAACTGGAGCTATCCCGTGGTAATTTACGGCCTCTCAATATTACCGACGTGCCCCTAGACGTTTGGTATATCATTTTTCACAGCTTCCAGGATGACGCCATCACGGAGGCTGCGCGCTGGCGCCACGGCGTTGACTGGCATGAATATGATAGAGGTCCACGAAGCCACAGATGAAGGCGGACTTTCTGCAAACTTCGCCTCCTTTGCCGCTTATTCTATGAGCTGGCAACACCACTCTTGTTTCCCGTTGTGCAGGTCGAGCTTACCCGGGCTTCCCTCGATTTAGCTGAGAAGATCTCGAAAACCCATTCATGGCGGCCAACATCCGGGGTATCCATGTTTCCATTGGGAATCGGCCAAAGGAGTACGCCGACAGCATTGCACGATTTAAGGAGATCCGACTTGCAACCGTGGCCGGGTTCCGAGAAGGCTGCAGAGATGAAATTAGGTCCCACGAAGACTTCGGGCCCGAGGAGGCTGACGACGACAGCGAATACAGGGCGACCGAATTACGACGGGCGATGAAAAATTACAACCGTATACGCCATGAATGGGCGGAATACGTTCGTGCAGCAGAGAGCGGAGAAGCGCTTGTACGGCCACTCTCAAAATATCAGAAGATCCTGCACGAAGGATACGCCGAATATTGCCGTTTGAAACAGGAGCAGCATGAAGTCCTCCAAAACGGCAATTTTGCCAATTCACTTGCGGCGGCCGCTTCGCAGATGCCCAATGTCCATTGCTTTCATTTCAGGGAGCTGGTCCCAGATTACTGGAAGTACGACCACGTCGAAGCGCTGAATGATACCGAGATCGTTTCTCGTTTGATGCCGGTCTCGTGGGATCCACGGGATATCGGGTACAAGTTTCTCGGGATAAAGGAAGCGGTCCGTACTCTGGAACCTGTGAGACTGCTCTGGGAGCTACCAATAGCCTTGCATTGAGCACGTGTCTCCATGACCCAGATGAGTATGAGCAGCTTACCTATGTTGGCCCACTTCCTGAAGATCTATGCTCAAGACCACAACGAAACATCAGCGTGAGACGAGTTGGGCGCTGCGTGCGAGATGCTAGAATCTTTGTAAATGGGTTTCAAGGACGGTTGGAGACACAGAAAGGCCCCCCTCTCCCACGAAGACAAGTCCCATCTCGACACTTTCGTAGGGACAATCCTATCGCGGTGTGGGCAGCAACTACGCAGCTTAAAACTCAGCTTCAATGGCGTGGTGATTGACACCGGTGAGCGTGTTAGACACTCGTATCCGGCCAATTCCATTCTCAGTACTCAGAAACTGTCTCAGATACGTTACTTAAATCTCCACTCCCTCAAACTCGACGAGAAAGCGCTCAATACGCTCTGCCATGGCCTCGGTAACAGCATCTGGCGGTTCGACTTGTGCTGTATTGCGGTATACAACGGCGTCTGGGCAAATGCCATCGACATTCTGCGCACCAAGATGCCAGTCACGACGGCAACAGGCATGGACAAGGGCCAGAGAGCTAGAGCTTTGGTGTCGCTCAAGTATCTCTGCGGGGGAGAGTTTGGGCCAGAGTTCTCGAAGGACAAAAGTCCGCTTTCGCCAGCGGCGGAGAAGTACTTGAAGGGCATTCTCGACCTCAATCCATTAAAGGGCCAGAATTGAAGGACGTTTGCACGGTTTGCACCTGCGCATACGAGATTCGGTTTTGGCAGACCTTTACGTTGTGCCACTGAGTCTCTGGAGAGGGCCAAGGCAGACATGGGAGGCTTCGGAGTGGGCATTCAGCGGCGCATTTAAAGCACCCTTTAAGTCCCTTGGAAGCAAGTTGCTAGCATACACGCGGGCCGTGCTCAGGTCTCAGTGATGAATGAAGCTGGAATGACGGCATGCTCGATGGGCAGCCCGGGAGGATGGCGGGAGCCACCTGGGCCACCCATAATTAGGTATAGAGATCCCTGGGATACCCTGGGATATCAGGGTTGTTTCGAGGCCGCCGCTATGAATCGAGATGAGGACAATGTGGAATCTGTACATACAATTGGTTGCACGCCAAGATAGCCTTCAGATCCATGCTCTCGGGCGCTTCGTTTCGACGTTTTGGGAATTTCGCTGACAGTGGCTGCGCCGCAGAGCGTTTCTTGGCCAGCTAAGTTTCCATTTCAGGAAGTGATCCGCTCAACTAAAGGACGAGTAAGGAGGCGGATGGCTATCTTGGCCGTTACCTTGACCACTGTGAGTTCACTCCTTTGTCGTCAGGCTGACGTCCATGGATCGGCCTTGATAGGTTGTTCCTGGCCTGGCTGGGTTACAAATACCACCAAAGCCCAACTTCAGGTGTTATTTCAACTTTGGACATTGAACCCAGCCAAGCACACAGCAAACTGGCAAACACGGACTCAACCATATTGTTGTCCTTCAGGAGAGATCATGTCATACATCAACACACCTCTTGGGCCACCGCCCCCTTACGCACAACCAAACATGCACCAACCCCAGAACCACTTCTCCCAGGGCTTCCCACCACCACCCAACACCATGGGCTGGAACCAAAACCCGAATTTCCCCCCTCAAGGATACCCGCATCCCTACGGCCCATACCCACCCTACACCAACCAACCCTACCCACCGCAACAATACCCCCCCCAACAACCCCCCTACCACCACCCAACCAACCACACCACCATCACCACCACCATTACCCGCCCCAACGGTTACAACCCCAACAACCCCCCCGAATACCCCCTCATCCAAACCGCCAAACGCCAAATGACCTTCCTCACCCCGGACCGCACCACCCCGCTCTTCACCATCCTCTACCCGTCCTCCCCTCTCCCTCACCCCGCAGCTGACCATCCACCCGCGGCGGCGACGGCAGCGGGCCGGAGCCTGGGCGGGGCGCTGGTTCCACAGCCTGACGACGGACAAGGGTAGAAGGCGTATCTGCACGGGCAGTGGGGGGCGTGGGTGGGGATGTGGGCGGGGGGCGGTATCGGTTCCGCAAGAAGTTTGTGAGCTGCACGGGGCTGGGGGCGGGTGCGCAGGGCAGGTTGAAGTGGGTGGTGGAGGAGGGGGCGTTGGTGCTGGTGGAGGATGGGGGAGTGGGTGGGTATGTGGCGAGGTTTGTGGCCAGGGATGGGGCCGAGGCGGGGGGTGGGACGAGCCGGAATGAGGGGCGGTTGGTGGTGCTGAGGGAAGGGTTGACGGATGGGCAGTTTGGGGAGGTGGTGGTTACGCTGGTGGCGGAGATGGAGAGGAAGAGGAGGGATAATGAGGATATGAAGATCTCGAAGGGGGTTCTGGGGGCGATGTGAAGGAAGGGGTGTTGGGTTTAGGTTGGGTTGGG